CCCTAATCTGCCATGGGCCCCTATATACCGCCTCCTCATGCTGCTGCCAAGTCTAGAGTCTCTCATGGGTCCCTGTACGGCCTCCCTCCCATTGCTGCTGTCTCCATCGCCACACTCTGCTGCCATGTGCCACTTTCAGGTCTCTTCACACTGCTGGTGTGTTTAATTTTTTGACATAGGGGTGCAGGCAGATTACGGGCCTCACATAGCTGCTGCCAGGCCCCTAATCTGCCATGGGCCCCTATATACCGCCTCCTCATGCTGCTGCCAAGTCTAGAGTCTGTCATGGGTCCCTGTACGGCTCTCCCATTGCTGCTGTCTCCATCGCCACACTCTGCTGCCATGTGCCACTTTCAGGTCTCTTCACACTGCTGGTGTGTTTAATTTTTTTTGACATAGGGTGCAGGCAGATTACGGGCCTCACATAGCTGCTGCCAGGCCCCTAATCTGCCATGGGGCCCCTATATATACCGCCTCCTCATGCTGCTGCCAAGTCCAGAGTCTCTCATGGGTCCCCTGTACGGCCTCCCATTGCTGCTGTCTCCATCGCCACACTCTGCTGCCATGTGCCACTTTCAGGTCTCTTCACACTGCTGGTGTGTTAAATTTTTTGACATAGGGTGCAGGCAGATTACGGGCCTCACATAGCTGCTGCCAGGCCCCCCTAATCTGCCATGGGCCCCTATATACCGCCTCCTCATGCTGCTGCCAAGTCCTAGAGTCTGTCATGGGTCCCTGTACGGCCTCCCATTGCTGCTGTCTCCATCGCCACACTCTGCTGCCATGTGCCACTTTCAGGTCTCTTCACACTGCTGGTGTGTTTAAATTTTTTGACATAGGGTGCAGGCAGATTACGGGCCTCACATAGCTGCTGCCAGGCCCCTAATCTGCCATGGGCCCCTATATACCGCCTCCTCATGCATGCTGCTGCCAAGTCCAGAGAGTCTCTCATGGGTCCCTGTACGGCCTCCCATTGCTGCTGTCTCCATCGCCACACTCTGCTGCCATGTGCCACTTTCAGGTCTCTTCACACTGCTGGTGTGTTAAGGTTAAATTTTTTGACATAGGGTGCTGGCAGATTACGGGCCTCCCATTGCTGCTGCCAGACATGTAATCTGCCATGGGCCCCCGTACCGACTCCTCATGCTGTGACGTTGCAACAAGGTGTAATTCAACCCTACATATGTTAGACCGCCTTTACGAACAGCTAAAGGCCATCACAGATTTCCTGATGTTAAAAGCGGATAAAGGTACTCCCTGTGTAACTTAGATGTCAGCCATTGTCAGCTCATGTGTGACACCTGCGCTTGCTCAGGCCCTTTGAGGAGGCCACGCTATTCGTGAGTCGGCAGGACTATGGGATGAATGAGGTCAAATCGGCCATGGGCCCCCGTACCGCCTGTTCACGCTGATGCTGGTCCCACAGTGTGACCTGGGTCCCTGTACGGCCTCCCATTGCTTCCACTCTGCCATGTGCCACTTTGAAATCTCCTCACACTCCTGCGGTTGTCCATTTTGTCATAGGTTGCTGGCAGATTACAGGCCTTCCATAGGTGCCACCAAGCCCCATATCGGCCATGGGCCCCCCCGTACCGCCTGGTCACGCTGCTGCTGGGCCCACAGTGTGACCTGGGTCCCTGTACCGCCTCCCATTGCTCCCACTCTGCCATGTGCCACTTTCAGGTCTCCTCACGCTCCTGCTGGTTTCCATTTTGTCATAGGTTGCTGTATGGCCTCCCATTGCTGCTGCCTCCACCGCCACACTGTGGCTCCAAACACTGGTTTTGGCCCCGTGACTGGCCAAAGGAGTGAAGTGTGCAGTGATTCTAAGATCGACGGGCACTCATCTGCATGTCATACTGACAGACAGTATTATTTCTCTTCCCCAGCAGACTCCAAGGGCATTTACATTAAAGGTACAGTGTTCTGCACTAATATTAAGTCTCTCTGAAGCCTAGAAACACCCTTTTTTAAGTTAAATTCACAGCGAATTTATTCGACTCGAATCGAATATTGTCCACGAATTCGCCGAATCAGTCGAATCGAATTTTTCATTTCTTCGCTCATCTCTAGTTGAGTTTTCAGGGACTGTCTAAAGGCGTGGAGAGTAGGAGATAACCAGATGGATTGGGGTAAAGAGTTACAGAGGGTAGGAGAGGCTCTGGAGGTGAGCCTGATGGGAAGTCACAAGGGAGCTAAGAGTGTAAGGAGTGAAAAGCATGGTTTGGGTGATATTTTGAGATGTTTGGTGATGTAGCTCAGGGCAGAGTTGTGGATGGCTTTGTTATTATGTTAGTATTTTGAATTTAATTCAGTGTGTTGCACTACACCAATATTTTGCTTTTCGAAAACCTTTGGTATATTTTACTGATTTTTGGCTGGTAATCGTGAAAATAACCTGTAATTTAACCTATCACGCATTGTTTTGTGGAAATCTTCTGTTTTTATTTGCAGTACACGTTGGCTGTGCTGCACACATGAAAAAAACATACAAAAACATAGAACTGTTGTTGAAGCACATCCAGTACACCAAGTACAGCTGGAATATCCGTGGAGATCGAAAAGTAGTAGTTCTGCTGCTTGAGATGCAGCTCGGTTATGCCAAGTACTGTTGTTACATGTGCAAATAGGACAGCCATGCAAGAAAGTTGCATTACATTAAAAAGAAATGACCACTGGAAGAATTTGGTTCCAGGACAGAAAAACATGACACTTGAACCACTTGTTTACCTGACAAAAATATTTTTTCTTACAACTTGGACTGATGAAAAATATGGTGACAGTTATGAACAAGGAAAGTGAAGGTTTTTGTTATTTATAACAGAGGTTTCCAAGAATAGCTGGTGCCAAGGTTAAGGCATGTTTATTGGTCAACAGATCAGATACATCCTCATTGACAAGCGGTTTGACCATCTGTCAGTAGGGCCAGAGAAACTCACTTGGAAAGCAATCAAAGATGTTGTTGAGAATTTCCTTGGCACCCGCAGAACTCCAAACAACATTTAGCTGGCTGACCAACTTCTTACAGCATGCAGGACCATGAAGTGCAACTGAAGATTCATTTTCTGCATAAACACTTGGACTTCATCCCAAAAATGTAGGTGCAGTCAGCAACTATCATGGTGAAAGTTTTTATTAGAACATTGTCACAATGGAAACAGCTTATCAGGTCAATGGGAATTTCTCAATGCTGGCCAGCTGTTGTTGAACATTGCAGTGAGATGCAGCGGACACTACGGAGTACAAACAAAAATCCTCATTAGAACACCTTCAAGATCGTGCGTCATGCCAGAAACCTTACACTTTTAAATACATTTTGGTCATTAAAAGTTAATTTCATGTTTTTCAAGATTCCTATATGATGCAGTCATTTTGAAATTATATTTGTCCTCAGTTTGAAGGGGTCTATCATAAGCACCAAAAGTTTTTCAGGAAGCAAAACTTTTGAAAAAAATTGTTGTCCATAGCATATGTAGAGGTAGGCTAACGAGAAGGGACTTGCAGTAGTCAAGGCATCAGATGAGTGAGTTGGGAGTTTTGTGGTGTTGATTAACAAGGGGCATATTTTAGAGTTCTTATTTATTATAGGTACTTATATAGCGCCGTCAATTTGCGCAGTGCTTCACATATATATTGTACATTCACATCAGTCCCTAACCCTCAAGGAGTGTACAATCTATAGTCCCTAACATTCATACATACACATACTAGGACCAATTTAGACAGGATCCAATTAACCTACCTGTCTTTGGAGTGTGGGAGGAAACCGGAGTACCCGGAGGAAACCCACGCAGGCACAGGGAGAACATTCAAACTCCAGGCAGGTGGTCCCGTGGCTGGGATTTGAACCAACGACCCTAGTACTGCCAGGCGGAAGTGCTAACCATTTAGCCACTGTGCTGCCCATTATGGAGTTGATGATGGAAAGATTTGGACAGTGGATGGATGTGAGGCCAAAAGGAGAATCCCAGAATTATACCTGGTACCCTGACAAATGAGTAGCTGTGCTGAAAGCTATGCTATACATTCTTAAAGTGGTTGTAACCCTCAGACATAATATATGAACAAATCATATCCCTCTATAGTGTGTACTTGTCTCTATCCAGAACACGAAGTGTCATTTCTGTCCGCTGCTTCATTCCTCGGCTATCAGTGTTTGTCACTTCTGACAAGGTTCCTTGACACCAAGAGAAAAAAGCTGACACTGGAGGGAGTTCCAGCACACAGCCTGTGATTGACAGCCTAAGCTCTTCCTGTGTGCTGTGGAGGGGGGGTGGGGGTGTCTCCTTCCCTCCAATCAGGTATCAGAGCTCTCCTAACTGAGCTCTGCAGTGTGTAACTTCAGCTCTCTGCCCCCTGCTTTCTGAAAGCTCAGACAAGCTTTATACATTCTGAACTTTGAACAAATGTAGAGAAGGGAAGACTGCAGATTCAGATACAACGTATTTAGGAGGATGTGTTTTAATGCTGGGTATCACCTGAGGCCGTCACTTCAATTCAATGTAAAAGTGTATGTTTTTTTACAAACTGACAGTAGAATACAACATTAACAGTATGCTTTAATCGACACAAGGTGTTGCTGACTGAATTCTGTATGCTGGTAATAAGAAAGTCCTCCTCTATTACAATATGTGAACATGCGTTCTTGTAGCAAACCATAAACCTTTTATACGGTGTAAGAAATGATTCTTGTGAATACTGGTTAGTTGAACCTGAGATGTCTAATTTGCTTTCACTATTTTGTTTAATAAATCCTAATTCACAGTATGAGAAAAGGGTTTCAGCCTGGTAAGAATCTTGTATAGTTGATAATAGAATGTAAATATAAATGCTGTATTCACTTTTTGTGATGAAGTATTGCAACTCAGTGACTTATATGACTGTGAATGCTACAGTCTGAACTTCTATACATCAGTAGTCCATGAAGGTTTTATTTTTAAATGTGTGGATCGTTGTATTTGTAACACTAATAGATTTTTGTATGTTCAATCTTTCAACAGATCATCTAAAGAGGAGGAATATAGAGAACAGTTTATCTGCCACTCATCTGATCACTACGCCTTGTCTGACGGAGACTGGTCTCCACAAGACAGGTATAGAGCTCCACAGCTTTCAACTGCTTTGTATACTGGGCAGCCAGCTCTGCATTCTTGTGATGTTTCTCATAGTGTTTTATGAAGGATGGTGTTAAAGCATTTACAAATTCACCTGTCTTCTTTGTACGCACTGATGTGAATGTTGTGAACTTGTCTTATTTTTTGGTTATGACCATGTAAACTAAATGCCCAGGAATTCGCCTGTCTTATTGGCAGTACCTGTAATTTATCAGTAATTGTTTCTTTAAGCGCAACTCTGAGAAAAGTAAAAATGCTCCCCTGCAGTGGAGCTGCCCCCCCCCCCCCCCCCCCACTGCAAGGATTAAATGCTTATTTACGTCAAAAGGACTGGGTTAAGTAGTTTTAAAGGATCAAAGTTCACCATCTAACAAGAAATAAAAAAATGTGCATTTACTGTTGTTTTAGGTGCCTGTAAAGCATTGCACCGGCAATCAGCAGATCCCTGGTGCCATGCAGGTCTCCTGCAGACTGTCAGTGTAATCTGCCTGCTTGTACATCATACAGGCAGGCAGTTTTACACTGACAGGAAGAATCAATGAGCTACCACAGTGCTCAACAGCACCATAGTAGTTTGTTTTTTTTTCTTTAATTGTGACAGCTGGCGAAGGTAGAAGATTCCCCACTAACTCACAACACAGGTATCTCCTATGCCCTAAATATTGGTGTACCGTGTTACAAAAGGTGAACTTATCCTTTAACTACGTGAACCTTCACTGCCTCAGCAAACAGCGCATCCCTGTCCCTCCATGTCCTCGCATCCAGTGCAGGATGTTGAGCCCCCACATTGGACTAAATGACAGCAGGGGCATCCGACCACCAGAGCACACGGGGGAGAAGAGGCTGTGAGGACCACTCTTGCAGCCTGAGTGAGCAAAGGATTGGGTAAGTAAGACTGCTTTTTGCAGCCAGCTAAATGTAAAAGAGCATTTATTTGCATTGGGGTTGACAGCGCTTCTGCAAGGGAGGTTTTTTGCTTTCCCCAGAGGGCAGCTTTACCACTTTTGTAGATTGTATGGCTGTTGTATATCCCCTGTATTGATGATGTTGGGGGCATCCAACCACCAGATTGTAGAGTTCAGAGATTCAAACCATCAGACTCCCAGCAGGACTTTGATCAGATGGCAAAGAAGGCCATACTGCTTACTGTATGCTAGCCTAATTCAATTCATTCTTCATGCACAAGTATATTTAGGTAGGTAGCGCCACATCTATTCAAAGTGCAGCAACCAAGAGTGAGCAATTGTATTTCAGCTTGCTGCAGACAGATGAAAGTTATATTCAGATGTTTTTTTCTGGACTTTGCAAGACTGTATGAGTGCATTATTGTAGTTTGTTTACATCTAATAATAATGATTTGAATGTTTTTTAATCTTTATGTAATGTATTGCCTCCTATTTATTAACTGAAGTAGAACTCACTAGTAGAGTTCAGGAAAACTGCTTATCAGTCACTAAGCACTTTGGGAAACTGTTTCCATTGTCAACCAAAAAATGGAAAATGCATCAGCATTTGTTTCTTGCCTCCACGGACTACCAGACCTATTAGATGTTTCAAAAGCTATACATCTGAACTCAGAGTGCAAATTCAAATGATTCTACACAAAGCCGTTTTACTAGCTTATTAAAGAGAACAATTTGAAACGTGCATTAGACCAAGAACAGGCTATTATTCAGAATATGCAGAATTATTTTCTAGGGTGAACGTACGCTAAGTGTTCTTGATTGAGAAACATTGCTTTACTTTGTTCTCAGTGGTTTTTTCGCAGTCTATGGGTCCAAAGAGTGATTCAGAGCTAGAAGTTAAATCTTCAGAGAATATGCTCAGAACAGAACCTCAGATGGAGTGGACGTGGGGAGGCTTTCCAGAGTCTGCCAAGGTACAGCATGTTGTCTTTACAAGCTTCATAGTGGTAGATAAGGACATTGTATGACTTTAATAATGGACAGATATTACACGTCTTGCATGCCTACACTACTTTAGTGCCAAACATTTGTTTACTCTCTCAATCTCTTAAACTGCAATAAAGGCCATTTAGCCCTTTGTCATGCACTCTCATTAAGAATGGTGAGGTAATTCAGAGGCCTTAATTGAAGTGGTTGTACACTCCAGACGTGAAATATGAACGCTGCATATCCCTCTATAGTGTGTACTGGTCTCAATCGAGAGCACTAAGTGTAATTTCTGTCTGCTGCTTCATTACTCTGTTATTAGCATGAGTCATTTCTGACAAGTTTTCCAGACACCAAGAGAAAAAAGGTGACAGGGGAAGGAGCTCCAGCACACAGCCTATTATTGACAGCCTCAGCTATGTTCCTGTGTGAAGGATGGGGTATTGTTCCTTCCTTCCTTCCTTCCTGCTCTCAGAGCTGTCCTCAGTGAGCTCTGCAGTGCAGCCCCTCCTACTTTTTTTTTTGAAAGCTCAGATTAGCTGTATAAATTCTGGACTTTGAATGGATGTAGAAGAGAGAGAGCTGCAAATAAACAGGTAAAACTTGTATAGGAGGATTTGTTTCATTTTTGTGTATCACCTGAGGTTAGTCACTTCACTGACTTATATGTAAAGGTTTACAACCACTTTAAGGTAACCGTTCCCAGGCTGAATTTTGACCATTTCCTGCCTAATCGGCCAAAATGCAAGCTATGTGTGTCTTGTCTCAACCACCTATCTCACAAAAGTCTATTAAAAACTGTCTGAGCTGGATGGAAAAATATTAGTTGAACCGTGACTGTTTCCAGTCAGATGCAGTCACTGTTCATGTATTCAGGCAGCCACAGGTGCAGCAGCTGCCTGAACACAATACAGTGTAAATTATTTCATCCATACCATTTAACTTGCATGGGTTGCATCTAGTAATTTCATAGCCACCTGTTTCTTTGACAGCAATGCTTTGATTTCTAACAAAATGTATATCTTTTAAGGCTTGCAAAAAGGAAAGAATAGAGCACTTACGGACAGCCACAATTACTCCTTCTGAGAACACGCACTTTAGGGTGATCAGTTCTGAGGCCTTGTCGGGCACAACTGAGGATTCATCCACTGAGGACTCTGTTTGCACAGTTCTTAAACCAGAGCCACGACCTCACTCCATCAGTGTTCAGATAGATCCAGACCAGTTAACAACTGATGAAACCACCCCGACCTCTCCTTCTGCACCAGAAGACCTCCTCCCCCAGGAGACTGCTGATATTGTGTCAGATATGAAGCCTTCCTTAAAAACAGACTCTCCAACTAAGAAGAAAGGTACATATTGAACTAACCCATATCAGACATTTCTGAAATTTTGTGATGTCTAGAGACTTTTCTTCCCAATATTAGACAAATATAAGCAGTCAAATAATATAGAATTATATTTTAATTTAAAGAATAAGTTTACTTTTAAAAAAAAAAAAAAAAAAAAAAAAAAATGCACATATTTTATTGCACGTAGATAAAAATGTGCATTTACTATTTATTTTTTTAAGAGACTGGAAAGTATAGCACCAGCGATCAGCAGATCGCTGGTGCCATGCAGGACTCCTACAGACTGTCAGTCTAAGCTGTCTGCCTGTACATCTTATGGGAAGGCAGTTTCACGCTGACAGGAAGAAGCAATGAACTCAACAGCGCCGTAGTAGTTCATTGAGAACTTAAAGCCGACAGCCGCAAAGTCTGTTGGTAGTTGTAGTTTCCTGCTCACAGAACTCTGTGAATAAATGATACTGCTGCGTTCTTTTTTCAAAAAGTCACAGCTGGTTCAGGGAACTTCTCCCCGTACTGCTCTCACACAGAGGCAGCGGATCGCTGAGCAGCTGGAACATTTTACATGTTCCACCCTAAAAATGGGTGGAACATGTAACACATTCCATAGGTGAACTTTACCTTTAAGTGGATATCCAGGGTTTAAAGTGAACTGCATTATGAAAGAAGAATAGGTGCTGCCATTGTTGGTCTTTCTGTAAATGTGGACTGAGTTTAAACTATAGTACGTCCCAGACAAACATGTTGTAAATTAGTGTCAACAAAGTGTCAGAACTACTTATCTCTATACTTGTTTTGCGTCAGTGGCTCTAACAGCCCTAAAATCAAAATTTTAGAATGACAGCTGTTTTCAAGAAGAGAGTTAAGCAATGGCAGCCTCCATTAATCTGTAATAAATGAATCCCTTTAGGACATAGTCACATCGGGTGAAGTAGAACTGTGTTGGGTCTGCTGTTCCTGCGCAGTCCTACTGCAAGGCAAGGCAAAATGCCTTGCCTCCTACCTGGCATTTTACACCACCATGTTGTGGTGGTATGTGCTAAAAAAAAAGTACAGCTTGCAGTATCTTTTTTTTTTTAGTGTAGCACAATGCGGGACAAGCTACCTCCTCGCACCGTGCTGCATCCAGTAGACGTTATTGAACTGTCATTGTGTGCGATACACCATGATTGGCGCATTGGGACTGCTGTAATCCAACTGGCCTGCTGTTTTTTTTTTTTTTTTTTCCCTGTACAAGAGAAGGGGAAAGTTCTGGGCACACATCCTTAGAATTAAAGATGACCTTGAAATGCAACATTAAGGAAAGAAAGAAAGTCCTGAAAGCCGCACATCACAAAAAATACTTGTGTAGGAAGCAAGAGCATTCTCAGCCTGAACTCTATCCAGGCCATGCCTCTGACATGTTTCATCCCGCCCATCGGGCTTAGTGGTGGAGAGAAGGATTCCACAGATAGGGGAATCCTTATCCCTGTGACTTAGCCCTGTGAGCGGCGCGAAAAGCCCCAGGGGGCATGGCCTGGACAGAGTCTAGGCTAAGGCTGCTCTTCTTACACTGGTTTTGTGTGATGTGTGGCTTTCGGAACATAATTTCTTTCCTTATTGGTATTTAGGGAGCCTAGACCAGTGCTTTCCATGCCTGCACTCCCAGTGGCTGACAGCAGACGAAGACCTGCCAGAGCCTGGAGCGGCACCTTTTCTTGTATGGGTTCACTTTTAAATACAGCACCTAGTCTAAGATTTCACCTAATCCTCTGCATCTTATTTTAATCCTTTGTTTACAATGTTAATATGGGATATATTTAACTTTAGATCTCATGCACACAGAATGTACAACTTTACGAATGACCTTGCTTGCATCAAGTTCCTGCATAAAAACTTGGCCATGTGATGTACGCATGTAATGTTGTGCTTCGTTTACATGCTTACAGCCCAAATGTGCGCTGTTGGTCGCCGCTGCTAATTACCTATTGCTGATTTGTTGGCTCTGTGCAGTAGGATCCATGTACACTAGACACATGTTTACATGCACAAACATTTACATGCGTACAGCGTCAAATTCACTTATGAAGGATGTCAATCATATATTATGATGTGGACCAAAACTGACTTGTCTGTATGAGGCCAGAGGATACAATAGTGCTGCCTTCAGATGTGTAGAAATTAGATATGAATACAGATTATTGTATGCCCATGTGCATGAGCACGATCCATAATTCGCTCTAGTCTCATCTCATTGCCAGTGAAAGAAAACTATTGATCTTGTTTTGAAGCTTGTCACCTTTCAGCTGAATGTGGTAAACATGAGATATTTGCACATAGTATTTTAGTTCTGAACAGGATAAATAGATTTATATATAAAACAAACATGATATATTCATTGCAAACGTATTTGCTGTTGCCTGGTATAAACTTCTTTGAGCACCACTCCCAACATCAGTAATGATCCACTACATAAAGGGGTGATGGTGTGAACAGGTTCATCCAGAAGTCATGACGGTAAAACAATGTGGAAACCCCACACACACCAACAGCTCAGTGTGGGCTGAATGTAAAAAGCGGCCTTAGCTACCAATGGCCACACCCCCTGAGGCATTTCACCACGCCCCTGGGGTTAGTTATAAACACACCTGTAAAGTTGCTTGGCTGATCCTTCATCTTGCTGTGATACTGTGGGAGTTAAATGAAATCATTCTCTTATTTACATTTGTTTTTTCCACAAAGGAGTGAGGAAGAGAAGCCAGCATCAGGGCCCAGGTGATATTTATCTGGACGACTTGAATGTTTTGGAGCCTGAAGTGGCAGCACTTTATTTTCCTAAAAGGTATAGTTCTATTTCTGTGCGAAATGCATCAATATGAGCCCAATGAAATAAGGATCAGGGAGATGTGTAAGTACAGCGTTGAAAATAATTATTTGATCCCCTGCAGATATGGAAAGTTTGCCCACTTACAAAGAAATGAAGTCTATAATTTTTAAGATAGGTGTATTTTAATTGATAGAGACAATATATTGATCAAAAATCCAGAAAAAAAACAATACAAAATGATACAAATGTTGTAAATTCAGTTGCAGTTCAGTGAGCAAAATAAGAATTGATCCCCTGCCAGCCAACAATAATTCTGGCTCCCACAGACTGGCTATGCGATCATGTGTTACACAGATTAGTCCTGTCAATTTAAGAAGGTGCTCCTAATGACAACTCCTTATGTGTTTAAAAGGCACCTATCCACAGAATCTTTCTTCCATTCAAACCTCACCACCATGGGCAACACCAAAGAGCTGTCAAAGGATGTCAGGGACAAGATTATAGACCTGCACAAGACTGGAATGGGCTACAAGACCATCATCAAAAAGCTTGGTGAGAAGGAGACAACTGTTGGAGCAATTATTCGCAAATGGAAAGAAATACAAAATGACCATCAATTGCCCTGGTCTGGAGCTCCATGCAAGATTTTGCCTTATGGGGTAAGGATAATTAAGAGAAAAGTGAGGGATCATCCCAGAACTACACAGGAGGAGATTTTGAATGATTTCAAGGCAGTTGGGACCTCAGTCACCAAACAAACCATTGGTAACATGATATGCCGCCATGGATTGAAATCTGCATCACCTGAAAGGTCTCCCTCCTCAAGAAGGCACATGCAAAGAAGGATTGGGAGAAAGTGCTGTGGTCAGATGAGACGAAAATTGATCTTTCTGGCATTAACACGACTTGCCATATTTGGAGGAAGAAAAATGCTGACCATGACCCTAAGAACACCATCCCTATAGTCAAGCACGGAGGTGGAAACATGCTTTGGGGTGGTTTGTCTGTTAAAGGTACAGGCCGCCTTTGCCACACTGAGGGCCAATGGACGGGGCCATGTATTGTAAAATCTTAGATGAGACCCTTTTTCCTTCAGCCAGAACACTAAAGATGGGTCGTGGATGGGTCTTTCAGCATAACAATGACCAAAAAACTACAGCCAAGGCAACAAAGGAGTGGCTCAAGAAGAAGCACATTAAAGTCATGGACTGGCCTAGCCAGTCTCCAGACCTTCATTCTATAGAAAATGTATGGAAGGAGCTGAAACTTCAAGTTGCCAAGCAACAACCAAGAAACCTTCAGGATGTAGAGAAGATCTGTAAAGAAGAGTGGACCAAAATCCCTCCTAAGATGTGTGCAAACCTGATAACCAACTACAAGAAACGTCTTACCTCACTGCTTGCCAACAAGGGTTTCTCCACCAAGTACTAAGTCATGTTTTTTTGGGGGATCAACTGCTTATTTTAGTCACTGAACTGCATCTCAATTTATAACATGTGTATCATGTGTTTTTTTTTTTTCTGGATTTTTGGTTGATTTTTTGTCTCTATCATTTAAAATTCACCTATGAAAAAAATTATAGACCCTTAATTTCTTTGTAAGCGGGCAAACTTACATAATCTGCAGGGGATCAAATAATTATTTTCTCCATTATATACTGTAACTGTATGTTTGTAGATAGGCATGTATGGGAAATATTTGCCAAGATATTTACCAATATGGTTTGTATTACTTCCACTGTTACAGAAACTTTTTGCATACCACATGAGGGTTTGTTTTTTTTCTTTTCTTTTTTTTTTTTGATTTAGCATAATATGTGCAATTTTACCACCCCTTTGCATGCTGCTTTATAAATGAAGTGCAAATGTCAAGTATTAATGCCGTTCTGGTTTCCATCATTTCCACATAAACGACAGCAGAAATAGTTTCCCAGCCATTTAATAACAGCGCAAACTTACTGTCAAAACAAAGATGTATGAAAGATAAATGCATTCTCACACTTTTAAAAAAAAATAGCCTGTAGGATGATGCAATTTACTCAGATTAAAAAAAATGTATAAACTGATCAGCCATAACTTTATAACCATCCACCTAATATTGAGTAGGTCCCTCTTTAACCTCAAAACGGCCCCTTTTGCCACCAAAACAGTCCTGACCCATTGAGGCATGGATGCCACTAGACCTCTGAAGGTTTGCTGTGGTATTTTGCACCAAGCTGTCAGTAGCAGATCTTTGAAGTCCTGTAAGTTGCGAGGTGGGGCTTCCATGGGTCAGACTTACTTTTGCAAATGCTTGAATGGATTGGAATCTGGAGAATGTGGACGCCAAGTCAATACCTTAAACTCATTGTGTTCTTCAACCATTCTTGAACCATTTTTACAGTGTGGCAGGGCACATTATCCTGCTGAAACAGGCTACTGCCTTCACATGAATAGCAGGACCCAATGTTTCCCAGCAGAACATTGCTCGAAGCATCACATTGGCTGTGTTGGCTTGCATTCTCCCCTTAGTGCATCCTGGTGTCATCTCTTCCCTCAGTAGGAGACGCAAATGCACCTGGCAAACCAAAGGATGGTAAAGAAAATGCGACTCATCAGACCATGCCACGTTATTTCATTGCTCCTTGATCCAGTACTGATACTCACATGCCCATTGTAAATGCTTTTTGCTGTGGACATGGGTCAGCATGGGCACCCTGACCAGTGTGCAGCTACGCAGCTCCATTCGCTACAAACTGCAATGTCCATCTTTTCTGTTCTCAACACATCAACGTCAGGAACAACATGTTTACCGGTACTTACTCTCTAATATATCCCACTGACTTTTAGATAACATTGTAACAAGATACTCAATGTTATTCACCTAGCCGGTCAGTGGACATAAAGTTATGGTTTATCGGTGTATATTCATAATATCCTATAGACAAATAAATTACATATGTACTTGTGCATAAATATTCTAATCCATTTTTACTCAGTCTGGATGTATGTGTTCTGTGCTGACAAATTGTCATGTGATTCCTGTTTTGCTAATGAAACAAAAGACCCCACCTTATGCATGCGTTCACGAGTCTTTTGATGCACATTTTTTTGCATTTTGCATCAGGATGCTTAAATATGTATCAAAACACAGGTTTTTCTCAAACATAGGGGTGTGAATAAGGCCAAGAAAGTTGGTGCCTTTACCAACCCCTATGTGGGTGCATACAACATACATCTTTTAAAGTTGAAATTCACTACCACAACCTGCAAAGTAAATAACAAACTTTTGAATGTTCATATAGATAAAAAGAAACCAGCCACATTTGCAAAGAGCAGAGCTTTTTATAGCTCTTAGCTATTCACTGCTCAAATCCTGCACGTGATCCTCCTCTGCATTCACTCATACACAGATGGGTCAATAACATCAAAGACTTCCCCTGTAAACCATGCCATCCTGTTAAAACGAACATGCACTGCTCAGTCCATGGGCGCAAATGTATTCTTTCTGCATGGTTCAGTGAGGTCCAAAACCAGGGAGTGTGCTAGAACAGTTTGGATCTATGTTGCCGAGTTTGAGATTGCTGGGAACATTGTGAATGTGCTTACTGTGTGCCCTTACCTGTCAATCAAAGATGTGGATGGGAGGATGAGTGTGAGTGACTCCATGGGGATTTTGGTGTTGCTGAAAACACATTGTGGTTTCACAGGCTGAGCTAAAGCGCAGATAGAATTGGAATTTGGACTGATTCATTTAGACAAGTACAAGGATCATTAAAACTTATTTAACAATTCAAAGGTGAATTTCCCCTTTAAAGAGCACTTATCCTTTTATGGACTTGTAGTGACAGCAGCATTGTTACATTTAATGTACGTTCAGTAATCACTGTAGTATGTTCCTTCACGTTTACATTGATGAGAAGTATGATGCTATTTGTATTAACAAATAGGAAAGACATCTGGAATCCGCTGCACTCTTCAATCTTTACTGTGAAAGTAAAATCAGCATCACAGACAGTATTGGGAACATCAAAGGTTTAACGCGTTTCACACTAACAACTTGTGCTTATGGTTAGTAAGCGCTAGTTTTTTGCGTGAAACGTGTTAATCTTTGGTGTTCCTGATACGGTCTTTCCTATTTGTAGTCCTACAAACAAGCTGTGCATGCACCTTCATATAATTTGGCTAGTGGATGGTTATTTATTTCAGGTACTTATATAGTGCTGTCAGTTTACGCAGCGCTTTATATATATATATATTCTACATTCACATCAGTCTCTAATCCTCAAGGGGCATACAATCTAAGGTCCCTAACTCACATTCATACATACACATACTAGGACCAATTTAGACAGGATCCAGTTAGCCTACCAGCATGTCTTTGGAGTGTGGGAGTAAACCATAGTACCCGGAGGAAACCCACGCAGTCACAGGGAGAACATTTAAACTCCAGGCAGGTTGTGCTGTGGTTGGGATTCGAATCAACAACCCTAGTGCTGCCAGGCAGAAGTGCTAACCACTTAGCCACTGTGCTGGCTCGTTTCACACTAATCACCTGGAGCAGCGTTTGTTTTGTCCTATTTGTATTTACACTGAAATAATATACTTGTATTACAGCGAATCCGATCCAGGTTCAAGGCAGTGGATGGAATCAGACCAGCTCTCAGGCTCCCAATCCCCCCAGTCTGTGGGTAGCGCTGCTGCGGATAGTGGTACAGAATGCCTCTCTGATTCAGCCATGGACTTACCAGATGTCACGCTCTCTCTGTGTGGAGGGCTAACTGAGAATGGAGAGATCTCTAAAGGTGAATTTTACTGGCACTTTTCCCCAACAACAGCCCCATTACAGAAGTTTATTCATTAGCAATTTTTAGAGTGGCAGATAAACTTGTCTTTCATTTGCTTCCTGAAAGCTGTTTTCCCTTATGCCATGTTACTGATTAGTAGACATATGCTGCCTCTTAGTGGAACAGACACCTCACAGGGACCAGATGACATAATAGAATTTTTCTAACAAAGTATGCTGTTTGCTGCAGCTTAGCTAATCTGAAATGTAGAAGTTCTATAATAAGCAGCCTCCAGCTGTACAAAGATTTAGGCCTCAGCCCATCATTTAGACTCTCCCTTCTGCACAGGGGTAATGTCACGAAGTGTTGATTTTACTGGTCAAAATCTGTAGCAGTTTCCTTATTACATGTTGTATGTTTTACTTAAAACGGGGAAAAAAAAGCAATTCAAGAAGTAGTGAGTACAGAATGCAGTAACTCATCGGATTTTGGATACCTGCAGTAAACTCTGTTAAATGATTCCAGATTGGTTTCCACAGGTTATTGCGCTCTTGTACGTCCTCTATACTCCTGTATATGTGTTATGTCAGGACAATAATTAAGAGAAAGGGGTTAGAATTTCTCACAATGTTGTTTTTTTTTTTTTTCTTTTTTTTTTGTGTGTGCGGTTTTTGTTTTTTTTTTTTTTTTTTTGGGGCTCCATGTACACTGCAGCTGATAAACTCACATTTAGGAGCTTTTCTGCATTTTTTTTTTTCAGCAGCCCCTGAACTCTCCCTAATGTTTTCCTATGTGTCCATGTACACTGTCGTTTACAGTTGTTTTTTTGAATGCACCAAACTTGCGTTCAGGGATAGATTTTTATCAGCGTTTCAAACTCTTGTAAACGCAGCTAACTGCATTTATAAGCATTTGCGTTTGGAAATTTTTTTTTTTTTTAACCTTTCCATTTCCAGATGCTGTCCAGAGCCTTTTTTCATCATGAAAAATGCATGCAAATCATTTTTTCCGGTACTCAAATGGACCTGGTACACCATACTTTGAGGTTTCGCATGAAAGAAAATTTGTTAGACAATGCTGCAATATTTTCTGCACATAAATGAGCTGGAACACATCCAAAACACCACAACAATAAAAAAAAAAAAAAGACAGCTAATCTCAACAAATACTACTCTCTCTATTTCTCTCAAAATGTCTGAAATAGTAATTTTTTACTGTTCTCAGTGCATTCTGGGCATTTTGGAAGGTCTCCTATACTCTTCTATACGCAGACGCTCCTAAACGCAGTATGCAAACGCGGCTAAACAGACGTTTTTTAACCTACGTTTTTCAGCAGTTCGTTTCCATCGTTCAGAAGTGTCCCGTGTACATGGAGCCTTGCGCTGTGCCTTTCTCTTCTTTTGACAACCACACATTCAGACTATTTATTAGTATTATAAGGGAAAGGAAGTGAGGGACAATCTTTTCAGATGAGCATAAAAAACGTGATAAAAAATGTTATTCCACTCTATCCAAAACTTAATGGTTGGAGTTGAGCTTTAAATATGAGGTCTCTTAGTCTTTTTTTATCGAAACTAATTTTTTTGTTTGTTTCTAGAGAAATTCAAGGAACACCTTATTACATATCAACAGTTTGCAGAAAATCCAGGAATAATCGACAATCCTAATTTAGTTGTGAGGATCTATAACAGGTATTATTACACAGTAAACCACCATGGCCCAGGCTTGTCTGACTCCTGTTGTGGTTGCCTGTATAGTTGATGGTTATTAACCATGGCCTGCTCAGTCAGTTGCTTCTTTGGGTTTCATTATTGCACATATTGTAGTCTGAGATTTCGTTCCTGTGGGGGGCAAATCAGCAGCAACAAGCAAGGGGTAAAGATGAGAATCTTTACCATGTGTTACTGTGTGCCTGTTAGCAATTTTCCTTGTACAGACTACATGTGTGGTGTGTTTTGAAGCCACGTGTACAGTTTATGTTTGAATTACTGGTGATTTTTACTTCATATTACAAGTAACATCAGCAAAGGCACAAATCTAAAACAAAACTCCAGGCCAGCAACTAAATACGCAAATACCTGTTTGAATGGGTTTACCTGCCAAAGCATTTGCAATGTTTTTCAGTCATACTTATAATCCAGACCAGTGTTTCTCAAACTTTTTTCAGTCAAGGCACCCTTTAAAATTATGGACAGGCTCGAAGCACCCCATTCTAAAATGTGAAAACTCTTCCAACATTTTTTTATAATGCAGCACCATCCACACATGTAGGACACCCAACATTAGAGGTGATTTATTCTTCTAAAGCAAATACACTTTTGCACACTGTCTAGTATTCCTATGTTTCTCTTCTCCCTCAGTTTTTATACATCAGTGAGCTAATGTGACCCCAGCAATGATAGAGAGGGGTAGGGGAGGGTGAAACTAGGATGCTGTGCAGGCAGCTGACATCCTCATCAACTGATGATGTCATTGGTTGTCAGGACACTGGTCGTAATAATGCACAATGAAAACCTATGGCTTTGTGTAACTAAAATGCAGGATTGTTCCACCCTCTGGCTTGCATAGAACTTTTTACCAATTTTTAGACATTTTGCCAAGGCACCCCTGAAGAAACCTTAAGGCACCCCAGGGTTCCTGGGCACCCTGGTTGAGAGAGGCTGATCCAGACACTCCTGTTAGACAGCATGGCCAAATCCTGGACCTCTCTACAGACTCCACTATTGTTAAACCATGGCCACCCCCACTCTCCAATTTGGACAATAAACCCTCATGCACACTGGACGTTTTTACAGCTGCTGTTTTTGGCTTTTGAGGTTTTTTTTCTACAGCTAGTAAACTCCCCAGCATGTTATTCTATGTGTCCATAAACACATAGACTGTAATCAATGTTTTTTGGCTGGAAAAAAATCCAGAACTAGTGGGCTTCTAGAGGAGTTTTTTAGCTGTAAAAACACTCTAATGCTGAAAAATGTGCTAAAACACCGCAAACCGGCGTTTTTGGATGGTTTTATGACTAAAAAAAAAAATATTTTTTTTTGGTTAAAAAAAAAAACTCAAATGAGTAAAACCGTGGGAAAACACCGCTAATCGCGGCTAAATGCTAATGCAAAAAGGCTGAAAAACTCACGTTTTTAATGTGCCTTTACACAGCTAACGTTACTAGCGGTATCAACACGTCTGGTGTGCATGATGGCTAAATAAAAAAAACACACTAATTAGGTCATAAGATTGATAGCATGTTGCAATACAGTAGAGCTGTGTTTGGCTCAAAGTGCTGATCCTCCCAAATCTGGTCTGAATGCCACTGTGCAGAGGAAAAAAAAAGAGGCTGATATCAAAGGAGATTTGGGTACTTATGTTAGTTGCATGTCAAAGGACATTTAAGTCCTAATTCACTCACACTTAGAGGAACTTCTGCCTCTAACCCCCAATATCCCCCCCCCCCCTAATATTTTCCCCCCTGCTTACCTGATACTGTGTTCTGCACAGTAAGGATACTCCCCTAGCTAGATATCCATCGTTGATCTGCTGGGATTCTCTTCGCTGCACTGGTCTTGTGCTGCCATGTTGCTTCCTGACAGCTGTCGGCTCTTCTGGGTGCACACGACATGAATAGGACTGCCTTCCGGCAATGTATGGAGTTCCTGTGCAGGGAAAACACAGCCCTCAGACGGGGGTGCGCTTAAGTATGAGGCCTAATTATTTCAAGGATAACTGGATTTGATGGCATTTTTATATATGACTGGAAATTATGCTAAAATTGGAAATATAAAGAGAAGCGGTCATAATGTTTCTCTCAAAAGCCTCGGAACCAGATGATATCTAGCCCTTGTTTTTTTTGTTTTTAAATTTGGTGCTTCTGTTGGCTCCTGATGTTCTGCCAGAGTTTTATCGTCAGTTTGACACGGTACCCCATACATGCTTCCACAAATTGAGGGCTGTTGACATTGACAATAGTGTATGTACCTGGATAGAGAGCTAGTTACAGGGGTGCATCCAGAGGGTGTTGATAAATAACATATCTTCTGAATGGTCTGCAGTTAAGAGGGGTGGCTCAGGGCTCTGGCCTAGGACCAGTCCTGTTTTACAGAGCCATACAAAGCAGTGTGCAGGAGCTGACAGGAGAGAGATCTGTGTTTATACACAGGTCTCTTCCCCTTTGGAGATGCTCACAGATCACCGGGTACCACTGAGAAATCACCGTCCAGGACCCGGTGATTGACAGCTATGGCGGCGCTGGTAGGGCGCGCGTGCAGCCCCTACCTGGAACTGCGAAATCACGTGTATATATACGTGATTTTGCGCACCCATGCTGCCCTGTAGCGGTATTTCTGCTATAGGGCAGCACAGAAGCGGCTAGTTAGAGCTATAAGGATATGGAAGTCTCTTCCACAATTGGTGGTTGCAGTGGGAAATGTTGCTAATTTAAAAAAAAAACTCTTAGATGGGCATCTTATTGAGCACAATATACATGGATAAGGGAAGTGGTAAAGACATACATAATACACACACACCCACACACAGGTTGATCTGGATGGACTGGTGTCGAATTTCATTGTAACTGATATGTAATTTAATTTTTGTCTGCGTGTGTGTGTGTGTGTGTGTGTGTGAATGAACTAACTAATATTATGTGTACTGTGATAACCTTACTGTTTTGCAGGTACTATAACTGGGTACTGGCAGCACCGATGATCCTGAGTTTGCAAGTATTTCAAAAAAACTTACCCAAGGTTAGTGTCTTGTTTTTAATTTTTGCGATCTGTGATTTTTGACACTTTTGGCATTATTGCACCTTTTGTTTCTTCAACATCACATATTAGTTTTGTTTTTAGAATACCATTGAGTCCTGGATGAAAGAAAAGATGCCAAAGAAATCTGGAAGATGGTGGTTCTGGCGAAAAAAAGATGGTGGTTCTGGCGTTAAACAGGTAAGTCAGTGTTGCTTTCTGAGCTGAATAATGTACACTAATAATTGAACCCCTTCTTGTGAAAAATGACACGTATGAGAAACATTTTAAAAAGTAGGCTTTTACATAAAGTGTATTCATCATTAATGTGGTTCTAAAGTCGAAAGGTTTTTTGCCTTAATGCATTACTTGCATTAGGGTACAAAAAAAAACCTTACACTTGCTTTTTCTTTACCCTCCTTCCTAAATACTTACCTGAGCCCGTCTTTCAATCAATCCAGTGCTGCGGAACAGCTGGCCAATGGCTCCTGCTGCTGTTAGTGAAATCCAGTGATGTGGGAGGTGTGGCTGACTCGCGCTGTGCGTATCTGTGGATGCACACAGCCCAGCTCCAGAGCAAGCCATCATTTGTGTGACCCTATAGCACATGGCTTGCTAATGGGGGTCACGCTCAGGAGAGGAGAAGCAAAGAGCACCCAGCAGGGGGCACCAGAACAAGTAGTAATGGACCGCTGTGCAATATCCTTGCACAAAGCAGGCAAGTACAAACATTTTTTTATTTTTGTTTAGGGGAAGCCTTTAGTGTCACTCTAAGTAATCCCCCCCCCCCCCCCCCCCAACCACAATTCTATAGTTCCCAAAATTTTTCACCGCTGAAACTTTCTTCCCACCCAGGTGCTTATTTTGCTTATTTTCCCCTGACAATGAAGACCTCTTGCATTTATTACTTCCTGGCTGGCAAAATCTAGTGCAGAACTGCTCACATCCCTGAAGATTTGTCCCATAGAATTGAGTGGGACGCACATATTCTGTTGGAGCAACATCCAGTTAAAGTCTGAAGCCTCATACACACTGCAGCTAAAATAAGCCTGTTTCACATGAGTTTAATGCTTTCTTTTTTTCCCTGCTTCTAAATGCCCTTCTATGTTAGCTACTACTAGAACCAATGGCTACTACTCCATACTCTTACTTCTTGACCTCTCTGTGGCTTTTGATACTGTTGACCATCCCCTCCTCCAAAAAAAAAACCTCCACTTGGCCCCCGAGACTCGGCTCTCTCCTGGTTCTCCTCGTGCATATCACAGCGCTCCTTCAGTGTTACCTATAACTGTCTCCTCCGCTCCACTTCCACTTTCTGTAGGGTTCCCTCAAGGTTCTGTGCTCAGACCCCTTCTCATCTCAATCTACACCTCCTCCCTTGGTCACTTGATAAACTCCCATGGCTTCAAGTACCATCTCTATGCTGATGACACACAAATCTATCTTTCTTTTCACCTCACCCCTTCAGTCTCCTCGCGCAATACTAACCTACTAAGTGACATATCGGCATGGATGTCATTGCACTTCCTCAAACTAAATCTTTCTAAAACGGAGCTCATACTATTCCCTCCAGCCCGTGCCCCCTCCCCTGACTTCTCCATCAAGATCAATAATACAACCGTCAGTCCCTCTCCTCATCCCAGGGTACTAGGTGTAATCCTAGACTCCCATCTGTCCTTTCAGCCCCAAATCCAATCACTGTCCAAATCTTCTCCTCCGCAACATCTCCAAGATACTCCTGTTTTTAACCACTGAAGCCACTAAGCAACTTATTCACTCCCTTGTTATCTCTTGCCTTGACTATTGTAACTCCCTCCTCATTGACCTACCTAATCGCATGCTATCCCCTCTTCAGTCTATCATGAATTCTGCTGCCAGACTTATCCACCTTACAAACCATTCCATATCTGCCATCCCTCTCTGCCAATCCCTTCACTGGCTTCCCATTGCCCAATGAATAAAATTCAAAACATTATCAGGACCTCTCCAGAGCCTCCCCATCCTCTGGAACGCTCTACCCCAATCTATCCGTCTATCGCCTACTCTGCCCACTTTTAGGCGATCTCTGAAAACCCATTTCTTGAGGGAAGCCTATCCTGCCTTCAGCTAATAACCGAATCGTCTATTTCTGTTATCAGTCCATCCCCCACAGTTTTATAACCTTTTGTACCACCAGCACCTCCCTCTTAGATTGTAAGCTCCAAGGAGCCTAATCCTCTTTTATTGAACTGTATAGTTGCTGTATTGTCTCCTTTTATATTGTAAAGTGCTGAGAAAACTGTTGGCGCTATATAAATCATGTATAATAATAATATTGTGTCCATGCACACATAGGCACTTACAGGCACAAATGTGTTTTGATGCACTCTAATGACCAGTATAAATTATTATTCTGGCCAGTTGAATGCATTAATGCCAAACATGCACAAATGCTTGCAAAAAACACGGCTATTTTCTAAGCTGCTTTTTTCTTGTAAGGAAAAAGGCGTCCAAATGAGCACAGTGTGCATGAAGCCCAATGGATGATACTGTGCATGCACAGGCAGTGAAGCAGTAGATTTTGAGCTAGTTACCACTCCAGTCTTTGGGGTGGATCCCAACTTTGAAGTCGGGATCTTTCCCCAGCCTGGACCCTGCTGTCGGCTGAAAACGGGTCACAGGAGTGCAAAACAAACTTCTGAATGAGCTTTGGCTGTACTTCTCCTTTAATCTCTTCACACGGACTCTTGGTGGCTGGGCCTTGACGCTGAGCAGCCGCATATTTGCATACCATTGTAAACAAACATGTGCTGAGAGCATGCGCCCTGCGCGCTTCCAGCACATGTGTCAGCGTCCCATGAAAAGTTCCCAGTCTCTTCTTGCAGTCGGGACCTTTCCAATCATGTGACTGCTGTGACAGTCATGAGAATCCCTTAAAGGGCCCGAGAGACGCTGGCATGAAGGGGTTAAAGAACTTCAGAAATTGCAGCAATTTTAAAAATCTGCTGGCTTCTAATGGGTTACATCAAACAAAGTGTATGCCACCTTGTGGACCTGTATCTTCTATTCACATTTTGACTAAGCACTGGTGTATAACTATCACTATACTTCCGGTGCACCTATGCTAGATCCTCAGTTCTCAGATACAGCAACGGAGCTGTATGCAGCCACTCTGCCTGCCCCACTTCTCCTCTTGCCCAATCACAGAAGGCTTTGTATTATGTGAACCAATTCACAAAATACATAGCCTTCAGTGAATAGACAGCGGAGGGGAGGGGTGGGCAGTCACACAGCCAAATCTCTCCTGTCAGAACGCTGGGAGCATAACAATAGCTGTACTCCGTGTTTAGGACAAATGTAAGTAGAAGAAAGAAGTCCACATGGCGTCATACATATTACACTTAATTAACCCAGCTCATTTTTAAAACTGCTGTAATTCATAGTTTTGGATAGTGTAGGGAATTTATTTATTTTATATGTGTATGTTTGTTTGTTTTTTTTTTTTTTTTTAACCCCAAACTGTGTCCATTTACTTCCTGCCCCAGAGATGCAACAGAAATTGAGATGAAGGCTAGGTTCACACTGCTGCAATTGTGATAAATTTTAAGTGCGATTATGTGGTTGCAAATACTATGGGGCCAAAATCGCACTGAAATTGCACCAAAGTAGTTCAATGCTGAGTTGCATTTATATGAACTGGCACCATTGAAAACAATCTGAAATCGCACTAGTGTGAACGGAGACGAAATCTTCCCAATATGAGGAAACTTCGCACCTTAGAGAGTTGTTGTTGAAACATCTCTCCATACTGGAAGATTTAACCTCACCTCTTGCTCTTGTGATAGCTTTAAATTCTGAATTTGCCCTCTTATTTTGGTGACAGTGCTCTTACCCTACCCTAGTGGGCCTAGTAAATACATAAAAAATAAAAACATTACAAAAATTACTTACAGTACATGTTAAAATGAGGTTTGACTGTCATTTTTCAGTTTTATATGATTTGTTCTGCCTTGTTTGTTTGTTTTTTTACAGCCAGACGCAAAGGAGGAGAAACTGGACACAGACGTGGCCAGTGAGCAAGTATCAGAAACCAAGGATCCACCTGCTATCCGGTAACTGTACTAACTGTTAGTTGTAATGATAGAAAGTACCTTCTCTGTGTTGTGAATGTATACTTTGTGCAGCGCTCAAACCAATGACTTTACATAAAAATCAATTAATATGCATTATATCAACCAGTATTGTTTTTAAATTTATCTAAAATACAAAAAAAATGCCAATAGTGAAATAAAAGTGAAACACACATTATATAATCTATAGAAATCATAATGTAAACCTGATAAATGTCCACTTTTCTTCACAATCTTATACAATAAAGTACAATGTGGTGGTCTACATTTCAAAAATGTGCTCTTCTCCAACTACTACCATGCCCAATAAGGTGTACTCTCACCTTTCGTGATGGACCTCAACATAAAATCAGAGGTCAAAACAAGATTTTCAGTAATATGGTGACTATCCTCAGGACTCCTGCTTAGTATAGATGTTTAGAATTCAACTCCTAGTACTGCAGGCTTTCTCCATTTTCACAGGTCAATTTAGTATTGTGGCATAAGCCCATAGAAGAGATGAACCGCTCATAGTGCTCAATGGAGATTATAATATATATCAAGAGAATTGCACTCGCAACTGCCAACCATCTCCTCCCACCCCCGCACAGACAGGAGAGGAAAGAGAGCTAGTTCTGCTGCTCCTCCTCCTGCTCTCTTTCTGCTTCTGCCTTGCCCACAGTCCCCAGCATTGCTGGGCCTCAGGAAAAGGGAAACCTCCATCGTTGGTGAGGGATCTCACTCTTCATCCCCTGTGTGTGAGTGAAGTGGCCCCTTCTCCCTTTCTCTCTTCTGCCTCTGAGTTTACAATAATGTAAGGGGGAACTCAGATTTAGGGGGTGCTCTGTGGACTCTGATGTAACGGGGTCTCTGCTTACCAAAGCCCCCCTTACATCAGAGTTCCTCTTTATACCAGATTCCACAGCATTCCCCCTTACATCAGAGCCACCTCTAAATCAGGGTTCCCCTTGACATTCCAGAGTCCACAGAGATCCCCCTTACCGTGTAAGTGGAAATTCTCTAGAATCTGTTACAAGAGGGATCTGCAGACTTGTCAGTCTCTGATGTATGGGGCTCTCTGCAAACTCTGATGTAAGGAGCTCTGCAGAGTTTGATGTAAGGGGCGCTATGTAAGTGTTTTGGTTTGATTTGAAGAAAAGGTGGCAACCCTACCCAAGACAGCAGGAAGGGGGCCCGCTGAAGAACATGCGAAAGGGTCCCGCTGCGGGACTGTAACAAAGTGCCCTGCAATAGGAGAAAAGGGCCCCAAGCTTGGAGAAAAAGCGGGGGGCCCTTCATGGTTTCTTGCACCAGGGACTTGAAGTTTCTAGTTATGCCCCTGGCTGAGATATATGCCGTACAGCCCCACTGCAAGTATGGCAATCTGACTACGGTGATGTCAGAAGCTGCATCCTCCAGACGTTATCAAAAGTAGGCTGGATTGACAGTACACCACACTTAAAACTCTGAGCTGCCGCCCATTCCCGTAGTAAGCAAACCACAAAAGACCCCGGCGCTTTTAATAATGGATAAACATTGTTGGTAAGGCATTGGCAGCACTCTATCAACACTCTGTACAAAACTCTGTTTCTTCCTAATTCTTTGATATACATTCGACTAATAAAACTACTGTATATCAGCAAGATCCACAGACATTATATAAAATCATATAAATTAACCTAAAACTAAAATCTTTTATTATAAAATCATCCTAATCACTATATTTTTTTTTCCTAAATACCAATCTCTAAAAATATATCAAAAATCATTTATCAAACAAATTCTGGCAAAAATCATATATAAAAATATTATATGAACGGTTGGAACATTAATTTTTAAATTATTTTATATATCCTTTCAAAAGTTCAGTATACTCCTGTTAAACCGCATGCTGTAGGGCTAAGATAGGAACCTATATAGAGCAAATGTAAAGGTACCATGGGGATCTCATTCATATGTTATGGTGATGTCCTAAGTTACTCTGCTACTGGCCATCAGTGGTGGATACTCTTAATTCTGTTTTTCAAACCACCATATAGCTTGACCCAAAACAATGCATATTAGATATACTTGATAATGTCGTACTGCAGTTACATCTGATTGAGGCAGTCACCAAGGCGTTGTTTCAGGATTGCAAATTGATACTTCACTATTAGAAATCGGAACTTCCTCCAACCCTGGAGGAATGGTTATGGGAGTTACATTAACATATTATAGTTTAATTTATCTCCACAGTGGACGCCCAGTGAAATTTGAGAAACTCTGGGATGCCTGGTTGGCCACCCCGGGGGTCTTCCGCCTCTTGATTTGGTATTGCATAGGTTGCTGTAACACCCCTTACCCATTTTGCTAAGCTTGCACCTCTATATTTAGTAGTTTTTTAAATTGACTAAAGCACAAACCGGGTAGTCATGCTGTCTCCCTTTCCAGCAACAACACTCTTATGTACACTGAGTCAATATTGGTTTATCTTTTACCAGATTGTGCACTGTATTTACGAAGTGGTTGTCTGCATACACTGGAATCTTTTCTGTTTGTATGTTGGACTGTATGTTTAAATGTTTGAAGCTGAACTCTGGGCAATTTTTTTTTCTTCAATGCAATGAGGCTGTGCCCACACTGCATGTGTCAACTGCACATTTTTAGGGGTGAGCAGAAAGCATATACTCACCCGATCCTTTGTTTCTCTGGAAAATGCTGCTCCCCCACAGTCCAGCGGTGGACTTTTCCTGGTCTACGGAGCTTCCTCTGTGCATGATGACATCTGGAACATTCCACTATTACAGACGGCTGGAGCGCAGGAGTGCTGAACCAGTCTTATGCTGGGAGGATTGGAGGATTAGGTAAGTATGTCTCCGCTCCCCTCTCTCTCAGAAAAAAAGGAACATTTAATCCATGCTGTGCGGGCACAGCTCCACTACATGGGAAAAAAAACATTTTGCTCCGAGTTCACCTTTTAATAAACGCTACTTTCTGATTTAAAAAAATATATATATATTATGGGTCACAGGTATAAATAAATAATATTGTAGATACATTATATATATCACTAATAAATCTGTTGGAGCCCAAACGATACTTATGCTTAAGTACTTGCCGATACCGATTACTGATTCCTTTGCCTTTACAAAATTAATTGCTCAAATCACACCTGCAGAGAAACCATGTGTGATTCGGACAAGAATTGCACCGCATTCCAGTGCAAATCACATGTGATTCTTTGCAGTACTATTTGTGCTCTTTCATTTTGTATGGGCTCAAGTCGCACTGCAAAGGAATATGTAATCGGTATCGGCGAGTACTTAAGCATAAGTATCATAGCGCATTTTCACGAGTACTCATGCAAATGTTTAGTATTGACACCAATATTGGTATCGGTGCAACCCTAATTATAAATTCATCAGGATTCCTTCTTCCTCGGCTACCTTATAAACTTTCCCCCTCTCCAGTGCCTCTTATACCTTTCTATACCCCAAAAGAACCCTTTCTTGATGTCCTACACATGTTCTCTCATGCATGTGGACAGCTGTCTAGATATATTGATTGATATATTGATACTTGTATATTATTTGATTTTTATGTAAAGTCATTGATTTGAGTGCTGCACTGTGAGTGTATTTGAACTTTTGCGTTGTACTGTGTTTGGTGGTTTTCACAGTGGTGCTAGCAGCTGTGTGCATGTTTTATGTTTTTGTAAAGCAGAGGTAACCGCTTTCCTTTTTTTTCTGCGTTGTTAAAATGCATAGTTTAATTCATATGTACACTTCTTCCTTCCACCCATTATGTCTTATAAAAAGGACTACAAAAGACAATATTTATTAAAAAGAACTGTGTTTCTTTACAGCTGGCAGTCAAATTCAAACCTGTACTGCTGAATGGCAGAGAACTGATCTGATTGGTTGCTAGGGAGGAGTACAGTTGGCTGTTGACAGTCATATCTTGAAACATATGAGGCCTACTGTCTCTTTTCAGCTTTTTATAATAAATTACGTCAGCCATGTTAATCTTGGTAATTTCCTTCATCCAGACTTTTCAGCAGAGTAATAAATCTAAAAAAAACATAAAACAAAAAAAAACCACAACAGTATATCACACTATTTTTACAGAAGTCAAGTCATCATGACTTATTCAATAGATATTTAGTTATGACAGAAAAAGCAAACAACTGGGAAGCTGCTTTTCCTCATTGCCCTGTTTGGAGTGATTAAGCTAACACTGTCGCATAAAAGAGCCTTAATTGACTTTTACTTTCCATTGGCTTCCAGTCAGATTCATGCCTGGAGGCCTTCCATGCACCTGAGACACGGCACTTGTTACAAGACTAAAACAGTGACCCACTGTTAGCACTTGCTGTTTACACCTGTTTTGTATTACTCTTGGGATTTGTCTTTTTAGGTACCATATAGGGTCAGTATAGGCTCCCATGTCAGCTTGTACCCATACATGACTGTTACTAAAAATACTAATTCAAATTGGAAGGGATTCAAGTTTGACAACAATTTTCATTAATGTGGATCAAATAATGTAAGTTCTAGAATGGGACCGTGTATAGCCCAGATCTGCCCACATATGTAAATATATATCAGTAAACCTGCATCTATTTTTCTATATTCCGTCTTTTGAGCTTCTGCATGTCTATCTTGACAGCATAGAGGGAAATAACTTGTAAAGCACTCTTGAGAAATGGGAGAGAGAGACAGCCTTTTCACAATTGAGACACTTGTCTTGTGTAGTAAAGCTGAACTCAAGATATAATATGTATGCAGTTGATTAGCCATAAGATTATGATCACCCACCATAACCTGTCAAGGTATAGATGCTACTAGACTTGTAGGTGTGCTGTGGTATATAGCACCAAGCCGTTAGTAGCAGATCATTTTAAAGTGGTTGTAAAGGCTAAGGTTTTTTTTTTTTTACCTTAATGCATTTTCTGCATTAAGATAAAAAAAACCTATGTTCAATTTCCCCCAAATGCCTGATCTCAATCTAGCGCTGCTCACTCT